TATTTGGTTTTATAAAATGTAAAACACTTTATTTGGAATAAGTGGCTTGCAGAACAACTGCATGTGAATTCTTCCCTTACCTGGCAGTGGAAGATGTACTCGGGCGTGCCCTTCTTGTACTTCAAGTTCCAGACCAGTGCCACTCCATCAGGCTCGTGGGGAGCATCCTCATTGTTGTTATACGAGGCCACTAGCAGCTCTGGGTACTGAGAGGAACATAGCAGCCATTATTAGATGCAGAGGAAGCATTTAGAATTTAAGAGTCACAAATAAATCAATATAGACTGATTCGACAGAGACTCAATTTCTGCCCAGGGGTGCTGTTTTTGACACATAATACAATGAACTTCTCTGTGGGGATCAATAAAAAACACATCCTACCTGAGGGGACCAGTCCAGACAAGTGACCACCCTGTTTTTGGTCCAGCGCTCATCTGAAAACTGTCTGTTCAGAAACAACTTTGCGCCTGCCTGCAAGTCACTGGAAGGGACAGAAAAAAAAATGACTATTGACTTTGCCTATCCATCTGTATATCACTTCAGCTCTATTTACAGAATTTACACAAAGTTTTTTTTTTTCAGGTGCCTCACCCCTCCTTATCCTCTAGATCCCTGCCGCTGTAGTCGAAGCAGACGTCCACCTGCTCAGCCAGAGCTCTCTCAACAATTCTGCTGCCCCGCTCAAAAAACGACAAGAACTCCTCAGAGTGCAAGACCTGCAGCTTCTCTTCTTCTGTCAGCTCCTTAGGAGTGTCTATACAAAGATAATTCAATATTCAAAGAGAAGGAATAGTAACTTTTCTTTTGATATTGTACTGAATTTAGATTGAATTTTGCTCAAAATAGAACTTAATTGGGTAATGTAAGAGTAAAAAACTGTCGAAACTACTTGTTTTCCATTAATCAGAATTATTAAAAAAGCATTTCCTGCCACAGTCATTGTTATTTCCATGTTACAAACTTCTGTCCTTACCCTCCTCCTGCTGTTCACCCTGTTCATCTTTCTCTTCCTGGGTGTCCTCCACTGGTGGGGGAGCAGCTATTTCCTCATCCTCTTCCTCATCTGGAACAGATTTTATTTAGTTTTTTTTTTTTTTTTTTTTAAAAAGGGTTGGCGGAAATGTGAAGTGTGTATGTGTCTCTGTTTATTTACCTGCTTTTTGTTCAGTGTGTGTCTGTGCCTCAGTGGGTGTCTGTGTTTCTTTGGAGTAAGACACCATTTCCTTTGGGACAAATTCCACCTGGGTCACTTTAGACATGCCCAGCCTCACAGCTCCACGTCTAAACACACACACACAGACACACACACACACACACACACACACACACACACACACACACACACACACACACACACACACACACACACACAATTCATTATGGAAATAAGTATACACATACAAAGGTTTGCACTACAAAGTGGAACTGAATGCAACGTTTACATGAATAAACATAAATAACGATGTACAGAGATATTATTAACACATTTGGACAAATCTAAGATGAAACCACAAAAACTGATCAAAGTTGGAAGACAAGCTAAAGGAGAGAGGAGGAGCAGTACCCCATCAGCTCAGAGTCGGAGTGGAGTTGCAGAGTAGAGGGGTCAGGATCCCAATGCAATGTCCTTATACAGCCAAACCACCAGATGGTATTAGTAAGAGAAAGACGGGACAGAGAAAAAGAAGAAACAAGAGGATGAAACCAAACGCAGAAGACGAGCAAAAGGTGAGCCATATGATATTAAGGATGGGAAAGACAGCAAAAAGAGAAAGAGGACAGGGAGAGAAGAAGAAGAACAACGGAGTGCGTGTTAATTTAGACAAATCAGTGTGCCAGTGAAAAGGCAAGAGGAGACAGGTCAGAATTCATCAAGTATAATAACAATGTTAATACACACACAGAGCATGCATAAATCACATAAAATTGACCTAAAACAACCCCCATCTCTCTCTCTCACTGTGTCACACACACAACCACACAAACAAACCTTGGTCCTGCGTTTCCATCCCCTGAATCTTGGCTTCCTGCATCGCTGCCCACTGATTTGTTGGAGGGAGACATGGGGGCAGGGACTAGGTAGTGAAACAGACATGTATCTTCTGTTACTACCCTCAGGGGCTGAGCTGTGAGTGCGCATGTGTGTTGGTAAGTGCGTGAGTCAATGAATGGGTGAGTGAGTGGGGGAAGGAGTGAGGTATGGAAAGAGTGTGTGCGTGAGTGAGTGAGCGAATGGGTTTGCATGCAGTAAGGAGGACAAAACACAAGAAGAAGAGACAAAGGGGAGAGAAGAGAGAATGAAAATAAATGGCAGGCAGGTTTTTAGGTGTCATGCACAAAACAGTTATATAAAATGTTCAGATATTATGTGAGGGGAGGGGAAAAGCACAGTGGATGAAACCAAGCGAGACCACAAAGTTAGAAGTGACTTTTATAGACAATGTAAATCCATCAAGCACACAATCAGAAGTGATGGGAGATAAGTGGGGGTGAGAGATAAAAATAGAAGCATGCTGGCAGTGTCTGTTTACCGTGGGGTATGTCAGGGGCGATGCCAACACTCTGCAGCAGTGCCTCCGCCTCCCTCCTCTTCCTCTCCAGGTCAGAGTCTTCATGGCCGACAGAAGACCCACCGCCCGCCTCCACTCCACGCTTTGAATCTCCCTACAAAGTACATAACAAAGACAACCTCACCTCAGTATGAAAACATATTACAATGTACAGTAACTTGAACTGTCAAGCTAAAAAACAAAGCAGACATCTTGGTCTGAAATTATTGTTTCTACAACGTACATCCTTCTTTTTCTTTTCCTCTTCTTTTCTCTTCTTCTCCTCTCGAATCTGAGCAATCCGTTGTTTCTTCCTCTCCAGCTCAGCCTTCAGCTCACTCTTGTCAGACATACTGCAGGAGGGAGACTGAATTGAAACATGACAGTAAAGAGACCTAACCTCTAGACTAACCTCTTCAAAAGAGAAAATCACTTCTCACCTACTTTTTTCAAGCAAAACACTGAACATTCTGTGTTTTCTGTTTCTCAAATGCGAGGATTTAAATCTTGCTGCTGTCTTTATCTCATATGTTAGTAATCTTACGATCTATGGGCTTTGGACTGTAGGTGGGATAAAAGGAGGAATGTGAAAGAACTACCTTGGGTAGCTTTTATTTTATAGCCTTAGTCTATTTGTTGCTGTTTTATCTGAAAGATCTGGAAACGTTCATTATTGAAATTTTAAAACATGTACTGCGTGTTGATGTAAGACAGATGTTTCTTTGGCCTGCTTTCTTTCAGAGCAAAACTTGCTTGTTCAAAGTATTTTTGAACAACTGCAAGATGAATCCCAAAACTTTAGAAAAATCTGCATAACACCAGAAAATGTCAGTTTGTTAGGGAAGTTGGGCTTTGCCTTGTGACTTAAACAAAAATCAGCTTTTTCCTATATGCAAACTTCATATAACAGTGCTGCAGTTTTAATATTTGGACTCGTTGCTCTGCAGCATTAAACATCAGCCCTGGGCCTGTCACACTGGTAACATGTGAACACCAACCAGCTGCTCACAACAATGTCCTCTTTATCCATCTTCTCCGTAATGTCAAGGCTAATCATGACTGATTTTGGAATGGTATTATTCCAAAAATATCCAGACCAAATATAATCTATATGCTAGGCAATGATGAATCCCTCAGTTATATTTTTTAACCAAAAATTAAATATTATCAGTTGTTGTTATGTTGACTCTGTTGTATCTATTTTGAAGTCAGAGTTAGCATTGTCATAAATAATGGTGTAGTCATGTCAGTATGTATACCCAACAGCTACAAACTGGTCATTTTCATGTGCTAATCCTATTAAATTTATGTCGTGCGTGTCCATAAAACTCGGACAACGAGATGCTCTACACCACTCCACCCACTGTCAGATAAAAAAAATTAAACCGGCGCTTTTGTGTCTATCTAATCTAACGTTTCTTCGTTATAAATTGCTAACTTCATGTAAACTTCGTGTTTTCAAAGTTTTCCTGTCAGTCTAGGATTTGTCAAACATGTTTATAATCTAATTAACGGCTACACTGTCAGCGAAGAGACAGCTAAACCCACTAGCTAGCAGCGTTAGCATGCTAATCTCCATGGCACCCGGCGGGCGGGCCTACTGTTACAATAACAAGGCAAAGCAACGCCCGAGCTTTTCTGCTTCACTATCCCAAAATACGTTTAAAAGCAACATGGTTATGAAGGTAGAATAAGATACCTGGTGTCAGATGTTAGACCGAAGGTGACAGATAACAAGAGAGTCCAGTTCTGTGTGCTTTAAGTCTGAGGAGAAATGATGGAGGTGGAGACTGATGATGCTGGAAGAAACAGTAGTTTGCTCCGCTGCAGTCGTCTTCCTCGGTGGTTGCCGTCAGTACCGTGAGAGCAGAGTATTACCGCTCTCTACCGGCACGAATGAGCTCCTCCTTTCCTGGAGGATTTTTCAGTTTTTGATGAGTTTTGTTCAACTACTACTATCCACTGTTTCTGAAAAAGTATTTATTACATGATAATACTAAACTACTACTACTACTACTACTACTATGGTAAAAAGGAAAGCCATATATTTCCCTTTTTGGTTTGAAACCCATACAAATGCCACAGAATAACACTAGAAAAAGAAAAGTAAGAAAAATCACACGTTTGTTACCACTTGTCAATCAATTTTTATTCTTTTTATTGTTTTTATTTCATAAAAAAAGTTTATTATGTATCACTTTTTCTATGTACACGCATACACACAAACAGTAAAGACATAGTGTGATTTGTCATTTGCAAAAACTATGAGGATGAAAGCATTGTTTACATGCCTGTCTTATAAAACATGTGATGATCTGATGATGATTTGAATTTAACTCTGTTTTTTTGTTTAGATGTGGTTTTACAGTCCTGTCTTGGTTTGGCCTTGTGATTTAATTTGTAGTCTTGCCCTGCATAGAAGGCTATCATTTCTTAAGCACTTTGTTTTTTTTACTGTGGTTCTGCTGGATCGGTATAACGAAAGGGGTCATAAAGGTCACGTTTGAAATCATAAGGGTCAAAGTAAGGGTAGGGGCTTTTCGCAGTGGCTGGTGCTGCAGGGGCACTTTCCTCAAGTTTTGCTGCTTCCTCTTTCACCACTTTTTCCTCGGCAGGTGCCTCTGGTGCGGCTGTTTCCTGAATAGGGCGGGGAGGGTGGTCGATGAGGCAGTCAGGATCCCAGTATGGGTCGCAGTCATACTCCATACCTTTGGCAGTGACAGCAGGAGGTGGAGGTGGGACAGACTTTTTAGGAGCAGGAGGAGGTGGGGGTGGTTGGGTTGGAGCTGGAGCTGGAGCCTTTATCTCCTCCTCTGTTTTGGGCCTGCAGGCGGGGTTGAGTCGTGGGTCGCACAGCACTGGAACTGCCCCTGTTGGCAAGTAGACGATTTGAGGTTTGCACAGTGGGTCTTTAGGGTTACACAGATAGATCCTCTGAGCATTCTCCAGAGGGTCTGGTGTAGGAGCAGGGGTGGTGGGAGGTGGAGGAGGCTGGGTGGTTGTGGTTGGTGCTGCAGTGGTAGTCAGTACACCTAGGACATTTTGATAACTGGAAGCATCTGGGCCATAGGTCAACTCCAAGTGACGCATCTGCTGATACAGCATCCTGATCCTGTCAATCTCATAGATCTGATGGAGAAACACAGAAAAATATCAGAGATGAAACAAAACATTTTTACCTGAATAGAACCACATATGTAGTATTTAATATACATTCTACTCATCTTCAACTTACTCCCTCAATGTGTCCAATGCTGTTGTAGAAGCGGTAGTAGGACTGAAAGTCCGGGGTGCCACGGTACCACTTTGGGTCAATGTTTCTCTTAGGTCGAGAATTAGTCAAGAAATCATGTGCTTGAGCTGCATCAATGTTGAATGGATTCCCTGTGGAAGAACATGGAAGCAGGAATTATAAGGATACTGTTCTGACACCATTTGAATTCCAATTTGAGAAGTACTTTTAATCACTAAAAAATTTGGTAAAAACGGAGTGGAAGGTTAAATACCTCCAGAATTCTTTACTTTCACAAGTGATGTTGCTTCTAGAAAACCTGCAGGGAAGCAGAGGAAACATAAACTTCACTATGCAAAGTATGACAGTACATGGACACTAAAACAATCATCCAAGTGGCTGCTCTAAGAGTGCAAAGACTCTCTATTCACTAGCTTGAATCCAGCATTAAGTCAACTCTTTAATAAAGGTCAAATGAAAAATAAATAATTTCATACACTTTACTGAGACAAACCTGGCATTAACAGCAGGCAGCACAGCGCCCTCGACAGGGACACGTGGAAAAGCATCTTTGGCATCTGCAATCGTAATATCAAGCATAACCCCAATTATTTAGCATTTTGTCTTACATGCTGTTATTTATAAAATGATATGAAATAGGTATACATACAGAACCACACACAAAGGTACATACTGCACACTGAAAGCAAAAATTGTACAAAAAATATCCAGGAACTCTCAAAAGTTTCACAATCCATGACATTGACCACCAGATGAAGATTCACTGCCTTCAAAAACTTACATTGTAGTCTATCTGTACTACTTAGTAATGAACATTTTTATTTCCTGTCAAGTTACTACTATACTTTGCATGTTTATTCAATTATAGTATAGTATTTATTTACCGATCTGTTTGCTGCGACATTTGCAGATCAGCTCTCAAACAATTTAAATCACCACAGACAACGTGATGGAAATTAAATATTTGAAAATGTCCATTTTTAAACTTTAAAGGCTGCTACAGTAAAAATGAGAACTGAACCTGCTCACCTGCTGTTGCATCTCCCCAGCCCTGGTCTAATCTGCTGCACAACATAACTGTTCATAAATACTGCTGTTGATCCTGGGGCCTTTCCATTGGCCACTGAGCTGCAAGTAGGCCTAACTCCACCCCTTGAGCGTTTTCTGTTGAGACGTGGAAGAGCTCATTAGCACGCTGAGCATGAACCAGCAGTAAAAGATCAACTTCAAACAAAATGTTACTCCTTGTAAAGCCACAAGAAACAGCCCTGTAACAGCAGGGCACCCACTGGGTGCACAGGCAGTCAAGTTACCTAGAGTTACCATAGGGATCGCAGTCCTGGATGAAGCCAACAGTGGAGCTAGAATTCGTGCATTCAAAAACAGAAAGATTCTAAAGTCTATAGCTGTAATACACAGATTTTTCAGGTTGTTTTATGCACCAAATATGCAAAGTAGGTTGACGTACATGATGCTACAGTAGACTAATTCTTGACAAAACATGTCTGGCAGGTAAAAATTAACCCTCTGTCCCAAAACAGCTGGATGTGTCCTTTTAACTTTGGTCCTGGCCAGTCAAAAAATAGAGGGCTGAGTCAACTGCTGTTTAAGTCCCCAAGAAATATGCAGGAATTATGGGCTAGCTTGTCCAAACACCAAGTCAATGTAACACAGCCTGGGAATTGTTGTTTAGAAACTTCAAGACATATTTCTGAATCTCTAGATAGCACAAATACACATAAATGCACATAATAAGTTATGAAGTTACTATCTGGATAAAAGTTTACACCAAATAAAAAGTTATTTCCCACCAGAACCTCCTTTCCTTTGTCTTATAGTTTGTTCCCTCCTGTCTCCGTTGGAGATAAAAACATTGGGAGACTGATAAATACAATCAAATACATAATGTGAATGGAAATAAGACAAAAACAAATGTGTGGAGGCTCTTTTCCTACTGTCTGCCATCAGATCAACACACCACTGTGAGATCAAGTGGCAAACTATTACAAGTGATTCAGAAAATGATGTGTGAAAGCTCATTTTATATATTGTCTACCACATATTTTTACAAGTGTGAACAGAGGATTGTGTGGATTAGTGATGCTAGTAAATGATAAAAATGGCAAGGCTAGATCTTAACCCAATAAAAAGCTTTTCGTCACAGGCTGATGGCATCACTGGGTTCCTACAAGTGTTTGAGAAATAGCCATGTAACCCACTGGAATCGGAGGGGGGTGTGTTGTGTGTGTGTGTGTGTGTGTGTGTGTGTGTGTGTGTGTGTGTGTGTGTGTGTGTGTGTGTGTGTGTGTGTGTGTGTGTGTGTGTGTGTATGTGTGTGTGTGTTGGTGGCCCCACTAATGGATAAATATTTTATTATGAAACAAGAACACTCAATGGATATGCTGTGTCTAAACTGAATCAGCCCAAATGTCCATTAACTGGCTCAGTTAACTGACTGTTACTTGCTATTTTTACATTCTCACATCATCTTTTGACTTACTCGTGACTTTCTTCACTTCCACTTTGTTCAGTGATTGTCGGCCTATCTGGTGTTTGTCATTTCAACAGTGAAGCAAATTCTATCCTTCAAACCAGCAGGTAAGGCTGCGATCAAAGAGCACAAGAAGGAGACAGGGAGTCTAAAGTAGAGTTCTGCCAGGTGGCTGGTGAACATCACACTGTAATTGCTTTGTGCAGATGACAAAAATGGAAGGGTAAGGGTACCTGTTACTCTTAAATCATATACATTTATTTTACCTGTACGTTGAAACAAACAGCCGCGATATAAATCAAACTGTTTTAAAGATAGTGTAAGTAGGGCAAAAAAACATATACTGCTCTCAGGAATCTGACATGATTTTTCATTATTTTTGCAGGGTTGTCAGAGTAACACTTAAATCTGTTGACAATATTTAATGATTTATACGACAATAAATGGAGCCATCAGTTTTGTACTTGTTACCAGTGGACCAAATGAATCTGGACGAGCCTTGTGGCAGTTTGAAAGCAAACTGAAAAGATAAACTCTCCGAATGGATGAAACAATGTCTTAAAAAATGACAACAGTAAATGTTACAAGGGGTTTATAGTGTTGAATGTGATTCTGATAGAGATTATATCTCTTCTGTTTTTTGATTGAAAAAGTAAAATATGTTGCAAAGATCTTACATCCAGACTGTTGATTAAACTATATTAATACATTTTTTCAAATAGATGATTACTTGTGACAGAAAATCATTAAACACTCCGTAATGGTAGTGAATCATCTTAGTGCTCTGTGGTGTTTATTTCAAGTCAAACCTGCGATGTAGACCACGGGTTAGTTGCATTACTCTGGTGTACAGCATTCGTTGCACAACTTTACCACCACCTTCAGGGTATCAATTATCGTAATGTGTGCCCCTCTGATCTTCAAGTGAAATTACACCTTGTCATGGAGCTCTCTGCAGGAAACCAGAGGATCAGCTAGGGAGAAATGTTTTCAGCTCTATACAGTTAGGTACCTCTGTGCTGTCTTTCCACAGCGGCAATTTCCTTTCATACTCTGAAAGCAATTTAGTTCTGATTCTGATCAACATGCTAGAAACGTGAACCAGATCAACACAATGCTTGTTATAGGACAATATTCAATGTTCTTGTTGTAACCACTGCAAATATTTGTATGAAGCAGGCTTTCCTCTTGTTTCTTGAAGAAGAAGATTTGCAAATGTCAGAAAAAAAGGTGTAAAAGGAACCAACATAGCAAATTTGATTTGGTCCACTGACAGCCTACACAGTCCATCCTCACTCTGCCCACATACAGCAAAGACTGATGCTCCATGGGTGGTTAAGATCTGGTTGCAAATGTAGGACCATTTACAGTATGAGCCATGATATAGCCTTATCTCAGCTGACTGCACCACCACAGCTGGCCCTAAGTTGGTCCTATCCAGACAAGGTTCAGCACTGGTACCAGATGTCAGCCTTGATTAAACCTCAGCTAAGCAACATGTCAACCGCACTCTCCATACTTGGCCCAGACTCAAGTTGCCTTAACAATGGTGGTTTTTACACATTTATTCATTTTTCAATATATACACACATATCAATATTATTCTTACTAGTGTAGGGTTAGCCTACAATTACTCAATACTGAATTGAAGTACATTTTTAAAGTACTTTACTTGAGTATTTCCATTTTATGCCATTTTATACTTCTACTCCACTAGATTTCAGAGGGAAATATTGCACTTATAACTCCACTACCAATTTCACAGACAGCTACTCGTTACTTTGCTAAATTGAGATTTTATATGCAAAACATATGCTTATTTTATTTTTTAAAAATGTGAAAAATATGCTGTTTATTTTTTAAAAAAAAGACATTGTTTTTATTTTGTAAATTTGCAAATGCTACTCTTATTTATTTGAGATTTTGACTTTCACTACAAGACTTTTACTTCTAATGGAGTAATTTATATAGTGTGCTATTTTTACTTTACTTTCTTACTTAATACTTAATACTTAATACTAAGGCCTATGCAATGCATATCACAAATAAATGTGGAAAAAGTCCTATTTGTGAACTCAAATGAATGTATAGCAGACATGGAAATGGCTGTACAGTATTTGAATGTGTGAGGAATCCACTAATACACCAAAGGGGTTTATGGCCTGCATGTGAGATGTGGATAATCCATATATCATATTTTCCAACATGTTTTAGCATCTGTAGGAGGCATGCTATCAAACGGACATCTTGTTGAAGCGTCTCCTTGTCGTATACAGTATTTCCACTGGGTGGCAGCACGATAAAACACCGGAAACGTTCGACTCGTTACGTCAGTTCCTTTAAGGATGTCGAAGTTTTGTAGTTCCTGTGTTGTTGACCTGTCAGCGTTGTAGTACAAGCTCTCACTGCTGATAATTTGTTTGTCCTTCTGCTAGTTGCAGTCTTTTTCCGTCAGCAGCACAGCGAGGACCAGGGCGTCGGACGTACAGGACTGTTTGTACTTACTGTTGTTGCTGCTGTCAGCTAACCAGTGAGCTAACGGCTGAAGTTAGCTAACAAGCCCACCAACTTGACAGCTAGCTTATAGCTTGCTAGCTAGCATTCGACGGTAGCTAGCGTTAACTAGCTTTCCAGCAGTTAGCTCGCCAGGCTGCTGGCAGTAGGAGGGGAGGAAGCCGCCCACTCCTGCAAAGCAGCCATTCCGGACAAAAGAGTGAACGGTAGGTGAGGACAAACTTAAAGCAGCTGTCTAACGTTAACTAACAGTACTATACGGGATAGTTAGCATATTGATTTAAAGATTTTGGCCAGAGGGAAAGCTTCTAGTAAGCCAGGGTTGAGCTGCACAACCGGTGTCACCAGTGCAACTCCTCTGTCAGCTGTTTCAGTCACTGGTTTCACTGTCATTAGTCCAAGCTGGACGGGTGTTGTGCTGACTCAAGGTAACTTTTGGCATTTCTCTACCTATTTTTGTGACACAGTCGAAGTGACATTGAAATAGTCGAGAAAGGAAACATTGGGAACATTGTGTGAAATGCAGTTGAAGCCTGTGGTTCTCAAAGTTGGGTCCGGGGACCATCAGGAGCCCAGGACAGGATCTCAGTGGCCCTGATATCAACTTTACTGTAAGAACAGAACAGAACTTTTTTAAGTGACCTCCATGTCTACTTTGTTATACCTCAAACTATAATATTCAACAAATATTATATTGTTTAAATTATAGTCTATTCACTGATTAGTTGATTGATAATTAATGAACTTCTACAACTACTTTGAACATTGATTTGAGTTTGAGTCATTTATGTACCAAAATGTCAAGCATTCTCTGGTTCCACTGTCTTTAATATGAAGATTTGCTGCTCTTCTTTGTTGTAAATAATTCTGAATTAAATATCTCAAGGTTATGGACTGTTGGTCAAACTTAATAAACAATTTGACTTATGTCACATTGGGGACTTGGAAACTGGAGTAAGCATTTAATTATTTTGGAATTTTAAAGAGTAAATGATTCATGATTAGTGGAGAAAATTATTGCCAGATTTATTAATGGTGACAATAATTAGTTGCTTACATCCCTAAATACTGTTAGTTACTTATTCACCAATAAACCATATTTGGTTTTTGAGAGGCATTGTCTCACTAAATGGGTTTACAGGGTCTGTCATGTTGCAGAACACCTGGTTAAACAAGACTTGGCACTGTCCTTTTGTTGCTTTCTTTTTATAGCAGTCGGTTTCAGTTATGATGACATGTGCTGTTCATGTAAATCTTCTCTGGCAGTGTGTGTGGGAGCCCTGCAGGGCTTCTCACTCACAGTGCTCAGCTGCTGCCAAGAGAAAGAGGTAACAGAGTGCATTTACTCAGTGTTGGATCAGGTAGCTGCCACCACCAGGAACATGTACTGTCACATCTGTCACTCATAGCGAGTCACACTTTCATAACTGACCCAGCGGCAAAAGTCCACCCCAAGGATTATTAAGTCTTAATTGCAAGTGAAAGAAGTGACAGGGCCAGATATTTTAAAATAATGACCCCTCCCTTCATTGACCCATGGCTTCATTTTTGGTTGCATGATGGAATGTGTGGAATGGGGCAGAGCCTTAACCCATAACACAGGAACCCTCTGTAATGGGATATCAGAACTAGTCCCTATTGTTTTGCTGTATTCTAATAGATAGGGTGGGACTTGCATCATCCTTTTTGGATTGGATCTGTAAAGGTGTTTCAACCTCTGTTTAGAGAATGCAAATTAATGTTAAAATGAAAAGACTATTTTAGATGGTGCTGTTCTACCAGGATACACAGGACAGTTGTAGGCTCAACCAAGACACTGATCACTGAGCTTAGACTCTTATGGGTTTTTTTTGGTTCTGCAGTTTTAAGTTAATTGACAGTAAAATAATCATTGTTTAAGTCAAGCAAAAATTCATAACATTTGATGGTCCCAACTTCTCAAATGTGAGAATTTGTTGCTTTTCTCTGTTTTATTGTAAATCAGATATCTTTGGGTTTGGGTCTGAAGACATCACCTGGAAATAAAGAAAATAAACATAAGATCAATCAGTGATGAAAATTATTAGTTACTTGTAGCCCTACTTTATGACGTCTAGTACAGATATCCAGGATGTTGAGCTTGATGAAATCCTAATATTTCATTTTTTCAACTACAATGTTGAAGATTTTGAAGTTTTTTGTTTTTATGTCCTTGGTAGTGACGTTTTGTATGGCTTTAAAGTTCCCTCTAAATATACCAGTGTGTGGAGTCACTGGAAAGTCATCCAGCTGGAGGTTAAGTGCAAAGCAAAGTCACCTGAAGTCAATCAGAATCCAATATGAAACTATCCCCTCTTGTGGTGGAGTGCTGACTTTGGCATCTGGAGATTCATCCCTACTTCAAATGGGACGTTAACGTGATCTCAGTCGCCCATGCTCATTGGAAGTGTCAGCAGACCAGGAATCTGAATTGAAGGCTGGATATGGTTCATTTTACATTTTAAGGAACAAAATGTTTTATGTTGAAACAGGTGGTGTTTGCTTAATTTTCACTTGACCTTTTCTTATGAAAGCTCTTCTGTTTTTTTAATCCAAGGCGTCCTGGTGGTTCTTTGAGCCAGGGAACATACTGTATTCTCCCTCTTGTTACTGGGTCAAAGTTGACTCAGGATATATCATCTGCCACAACCTCACAGCTGTCTAGATTTACAGTCTGCCTGTACTGTATGTTATTCAATGCTTACTATAATTATGTAACATAGAGGTCATGTCCAGAGAGGGGGCATATTTTACAGAGTAAAACTAAGTGTCTGCACCTGTGTGTCGCTTTTTAGTCATACTAGAAGATGGCAAAGCAGTGTATGGTGTATTCAGTATATTTAGTGTTTTAATTATGTTTGTCTTGGCCCAGATGGAGGCCCAAAGCTCCAGCGGGCTGCTGCTGACCAGGAAGAGAAGAAGAGAGGGCTCCAATGGGGAGACCGATGAAGCCGAGAGGCTTGTGAAAATCCCCAGATGTACTGTGGTGAGCAAGTTGTCATTGAGCAGTATATATGTCCAGCAGTTCCTATAGGTTCTGTGTGTGTGCATGTGCCACCCTGGCTGTTTATACGTGCAGTATGTGGATACATGCGGATGCAAGATCGATACAAAATTATGTTCTTTACAGAAGTCTTAAATTAGTTTTATCTGTTGTCCACATCATGTATCACATTTTATATTGGTTCTATTTCTTTGTTATGTTCTCTGGAAATGGCACAACATTGCTAAGACAGCTAGGCACGATTTCAACACAAAGAACACCTAAGCAATTGAGATTTGATCATTTCAGATTTTGGCTGATGTAATGGGCTTAAATAATGTTATCAGCTGTTTAACTAGAACAGCAACATGTTTGATTTTCACATTAACTTTTTTTGTAAGAGTCTCGGTTACTAGTCCAATAGTGAGAGCCCAGTTACAGAAGAGAGAGTTATTCAGGACGTTGTAAAGCAATCAATTTTGTGTGACCTAATAGAAAACTTAATTGATCACTGACATCCTTTCATTCTGTGGGTTTGGCTCTTTTAGGGATTGAAGCACCCTGCACCTTTTGCCGATGAGCTGGAACCAGCTGATGGTAAACCCTATGAGAGAGTCAACATGGAGGAGGCCAAGAGGGGGACACCACGTGAGTCAGATTCTTTAAGCTGATATGTCTTTCTATGACAGTTTCTCAGTCTGTCTCATGCTGCTTGGTCTTACGAGACTTTTAATGTCTCTCCTCAAATTTTTATACACTTCTTTTAACTTCAGTATTGGTACATTTCCTCTCAGTCTTAAGTACACTCATACATACGGACAAACAAGTATGATTTTAAATTCACTATGACTCTTTCATCTCTGCGTGTCTTGTCTTGTCTCTTTCTGTCCAGCCGACAGACCGGTCCGGGTGTATGCTGATGGCATCTTTGACGTTTTCCACTCAGGTCATGCCAGAGCTCTGATGCAGGCTAAATGCCTCTTCCCAAACACACACCTCATTGTTGGAGGTAAATATTAGTCTGTGTGTGGGTCCATATTGGCTTTCACAGTAGAAGACTTCTATCAGCTGCTTCTTTCTTAAGTGTGAAACTCTACAGACAGGACTACAATAGAGATAAATAGAGTGCAGGTCTGATGAATTCAGACATCTGTTAAAGAAAGTTAAAAGATAAAGATGTTTCTGTGTAATCCAGCTTCAAAACCTTCAACCTCATTCTTTATTTGTTTTCTTTGTTCCATTCTGTGCTTTGTGTTAAATGTGTATGTGTAAGACTGATGACTCTTTTACTTCAAACAATAAATTTACCTACAGGTACAAATAAAGTAACCTACATACCTACCTACCATGGTCTAAGCTCCTTAAATTATAATTTCTGCAAATATTTCTATCCACTCACAGTGTGCAGTGATGATCTGACCCACAAATACAAGGGCTTCACAGTGATGAATGAGGATGAGCGCTATGATGCTGTCAGACATTGCCGCTACGTGGATGAAGTGGTACGAAACGCTCCCTGGACGTTAACGCCAGAGTTCCTCGCAAGACATCGGGTGAGTGGATGAAAACAGAGTTAAAGACAAAAACCACGATTACAGACACACTGTAGAATCTTGATGTGAGAAACCAACAACAAAATGTTTGTACAATAATCTAAAAGAACGAGTTGATCAGCCACCTACCCTGATTTTGTGTAACCTTCTCCCTGTTGTTTTTTGTACAATTTGTAGATCTGAATCTACTGTGTTTACTATGTCTCCAGATCGACTTTGTGGCCCATGATGACATCCCATACTCCTCAGCGGGCAGTGATGACGTATACAAGCACATTAAAGACGCTGGTGAGTGCCAAAATAACCGAATGTGGTAGTGCGGTACACAACTAATTACACGATACAGTTCAGTGTTTACTACTGCTTCCCATGCACACATGGTACTGTATATCATGCTGGAATTAAAAATGTAAAAGAATTTTTTTGTAATACAGAAATGTTTTCAAATTGAGCTGCTAAGTAAGATGCTGGATTATATGACTAATTACAAAGACACTTGTGGATACCAGTTGTTTGGTCAAAAACAGTATTAGTAGAATACAGTGACACTGAACTGAGTTGTATTTCTTACCAGGAAATAGATGATAGATAACATTAGATCACATGTTCCTTAAAGGGGAACACCACCAATTATACACATGAAAGTCTGTTTACCAATCTTGGGGAAGAAAACTAAATATGTGAAATATGGTGGTGGAGGTCTTTTGTGGCTCCAGGGGGAAGCTATGTGTATCTACTGGACACCTGCAGCTCAAGGCTACATTAACATACCTGAATTTCTGACCAAACTGTCTTTAATCAAATTGCATTGTGGGTAATATAGATGCCAGGTTTTGACAAAGAAGAAGAATGTGAGGAATAAAAACGATATCTCTGGTTATGCTGCACTGATTTTAATCAGTTCGTTTAAACTATCCGGTGTGAGTCTGACAGCTGTAGGAGTGAAATGCTACATCAGTGGAACATTGTAATATTGCATTAAATTAGAAAAATACATCAGTCGGATCGGGAACTTGCTGGATGAGATCTATAAACCATAATAATTTGTCCCATTTTAACAATTTTCTCTTGACTAAATTCAGGAACCAGGTACAAAGGCTAATCCCAAATCATGACTAATGGAGATTTTTTTTCTTCAGACTATACGTGAGCTCAATAATGGCACTGACTTTTGGGTCACGAGCATTATAGACTAAATTGATTACACCTGTGGGTGCCACGTCACCCCCTGTACACGTGTGTATTCTATTCTATTGACTGGGAAGAGAAAAGACAGAGCCCACCTGCACCACCATGTGAGGATGAATGGTTCCAGGTTCACTTTGATTCATAAAACTCTGAGTTACTCTGTGTTTACGTCAGTCAGTGCTGTCAGGTGAAATAATGAAGTTGATCCTGACCATAAATTCTTGCCCTGACTCGTGTAAGAAGACTCTATGATGAAGACAAATTGACCTTGGCATTACTGTGTGTATCCTTTTGACCTCTGCTGTGTCTCTTAGGTATGTTCGCTCCCACCCAGCGGACAGAAGGCATCTCCACCTCTGACATCATCACCCGCATTGTGCGTGATTATGATGTGTACGTCAGACGCAACCTACAGAGAGGATACACAGCCAAGGAACTCAACGTCAGCTTCATCAATGTATGAAACTTTCAGCTTTGGTTTTGTTTGAGAAAAAAAATGTTGTTGGCGCAGTGTGTGTGAGGTGATTCATGGCCTTTGCGGTCCTCACTCTCACCAGGAGAAGAAATACCACCTTCAGGAGCGTGTGGACAAAGTGAAGAGGAAGGTTCGTGATGTGGAGGAGAAGAGCAAGGAGTTTGTCCAGAAGGTGGAGGAGAAGAGTATCGACCTCATCCAGAAATGGGAGGAGAAATCCAGGGAGTTCATTGGCAACTTCCTGCAGATGTTTGGCCCTGAGGGAGCTCTGGTGAGGACATTGGTTTTGTTTGGTCTTTAATTACTGTTTAATCAGGCAGCATGACTAAAAACACATCCTTATTTACACTGTTGATTGCCTGGAAGACATGTCGCAGTGGGAAGGAATACTTGACAGTCTGTAACACGCAACCAGGAAAACATTTCGCTCAGTGACACACTTGTAATAACAGACCAAAACGACTTCACTTTGCTGTAAAGTTTATTTAATAGTAATAATTTAAAAGTTAATCAAACAGATTCTACTGATTGAGCCAAATTTATTTAAAATGACAAAAACCAAAATGATTCACAGGTCATCACAAACTAGATAACATTCACCACAGCTTTTCTACTGTTTAACCAGCTTTTTTAAATGCTCAGCTCATCCTGTGTTCATGTTTTCTGCTCTGATTGTATCGTCATCTGATGTAACAGACATTCACTCCTCATGTCTCTGCCTCTCCTCTGCAGAAACACATGCTGAAGGAGGGAAAAGGCCGCATGCTGCAGGCCATCAGCCCCAGGCACAGCCCCGACAGCAGCCCCACCCGCGAGGAGCGTTCCCCCTCTCCCACCTTCCGTCTCCCCTTCTTCACCAAGACCTCCCCTCCACCCTCGCCTCCACCTCACCACAGCGGGGCCCGAGGATACCTCATCAGCGAGGACGACGATGAAGACGACGAAAACTAGAGCGCGTTTGAATTCTCCGCTCTGTATGTCTGCAGTCAGTGCTGCCAGTTAACTGAGCTGTCGAGTAGCGTGGTTTTCATGGAGCTCCTGCTTCCATTTTTTTTTTTCCTGTTTTTGATTTTATGTTGATGTTTAGCACTTCACTGTCTCCTTAACTGTAACAACCAGTTTCTCCACAGCTCTTGTTTTTAACAGCCAATTTTGTCCTTTTTGTCTTTGTGTAACGGTCAGTCAAAGTTACCACTAGTCACTTGAGTTCTTTGAAAATTAGTCTCATTTATCTCTGTCACTTTTGATGTTGATTTTATTAGTCACTCACTGTCACGTAGGAATATTTGCAGGTGTTACACTCAGCGCACTCTTCCATTCATGACGGTATTCTTAAGGTGTGCATTGTAGTGCTGCAGGAGTTTGTGTTTTTGTTTTTGTCATGTAAGCGAGAGGGCTTGAAGGGTTTTTGGTCACTTGTTGGAACAGCACATGTTGTTTTGGTGGGCAAGAGGTGACCTCATGGAGACACTGTTGATTATATCTGGGGGAAGCTTTTCAGAGCTGGTCAGAAAACTAAAGGTTTAAATGATCTGCTCATGTGGTGTGGCGGTTTATATTCTGCTCACACCAGCATGAAATCAACCTGGCTTTTCTTTAATAACAGGAAAACTCCAGATTTAATCAAATCAGATCTGAATCAGAGTAATGGTGTTATATATCTACTAAACAGCAGCTTTTTTCTCAAGGTTGTCTGCCTGCTTTGGGGCTATGCGTGTCTGTGTGTATGTGCATGTGATATTTTGTGTGCAGGCTCTTACAGTATGTCGGCATGTTTGAAATGTCTTCTGTCAACATTCTTCATCTATTGACAGGTCTGGGTTCAGATTGACTTACTGCATATAGTAATAAATTTGCTTATTTCTTTTTTTTTTTGTCTGTAGAATCGGTCTTTGAAAGAATAGTTTCGAACTGGACGCCTTTTAATGTGGCGTAAAAGAAAGTCTTTCAAAGTTTGCAAGGATGACCCATTTAAATGATGTAGAAATACTTATTTTTGTAGAATTCGTTATCCTCTGTACAGATATGATCTTAATCATCCCTTTTTAGAAGTGCTTTTTCAGGCTGAGCAGAGAATCAACACTAGAGAGGCTGGACTTTGTTTTGTTTTTTCCTTTTTTCTAATGTAGATCTGGGCCGTAGGGAAGTAATCATTTTCATCTGATACACGTGATGATGATAGAAAGTATTAGGTCTTCATATATAGCAAAACACCTGAGAATGGTCTAAATGCCCTACTTGTAAGAAATCACTTCTTTTGGTTTGAGTCATAAGCACAACATAGGTTTCTTTTATGAATAAGGCCTTCTCATTGGTAGCACGCTTACAAGGGAAAATACATTCAGGGATTTGGGGTTTTTCCATATCAGGCACCAATTTACAGGACTTCCATTTAATGAAATGAGTCTGTGCATGCAGTCTGCATCAGTGTAGAAATGTATTTTGGTAGCCTGGACTGCACTGTGTCACATAGGTGGGTGAAGGGTTCAGGTTTATGTATCAATGAAACTCCAGATCAACATTCATGTAGCTACCTCCTTCTTCCCTGAACTGATTCTTTCCTTAGATGAGCACAAAGTATGAGTATTTTTTTTTCCTTTCTGAACAGAGCCATTGTTCCAGCACTGAAGCAATGTGACTGGTCAAATATTTGAGATTTCCAGGCATCTGTGTGTGTGTGTCCTGCATCTCCAGTGATAAAGCATGTGTTGTGTCTCCAATATAACTGTAAACGAAACATCACAGGTGATCTGAAGATGTAATGCAATACTGTTAGATGACTCTAATATAAATGTTGACGGACTTTTGATCAATCTGTTCTAGGCTTGGGTTCCCAAAAGCACTTATGGTGTAAATGGATCTTTGCTGCAGCAACAAAAACTGCCTCTATTCTTGTGGGCGTTAATCAGATTATAAAGTTGAGAAATAACTGTTCTACTACTAAGTTCTACTTTTGGTATTAAAACCACAAAACTACAGTATAATTCCAGTATAATTCGCTGAGGAAATCCAGCCTTGATTTTGGTGCTAAGCTACTTTTGGGAAGCCTCGCCTTGATTCTTGTGGAATCTGTTCTTTTAAATCAGTGTGAACTTCTCAGTAGGAGCATGTCCATGTTAAGAGCTCAAGCTGGCAAAGACTTGAGTGGCAAGCCAATAACAGCCACTACTACAAAGATATAAATGTACATGTTTTTAACTACAAGTGTTTTAATTGTATTATTTTACTGTTTGGGGTTATTTTTGTTTTACGTTCTGGATGTAGAGGAAGAGCAAGACAGGAAAAATGTATTAAACATGTTGGCCAAAGCATTTCTTGACCAATCATTTTCTCTCTTGTGGTTTACTATAACTGCGGAGGTCTTTTCTGGGTGGATCATTTTTTCACATGATAATGGTTAGTTACCCAAGATCCATTGTTCTTACACCCCCCCACCACCACCCTGATTTCATTTTAATTAAGGCTATAATCAGTTGGTAGTTATCATCATTAGTCCTGTGCAGTCAGTAGACCAGCCAACTCCCCTTACAGATGGTAGTCCCAAGGCATAAGAGAACTAAGTGGCTGCTTAGGACCACTGTGGCACCAGGGGGCCCTCTATATATCTTTTTTCAACCCATAGGCACCACAACAGTCTGCCAGACTGTCATATATAATAACATTGTTTGGGCTCTCAAGCAGTGGAAAAAATACTACTAAGTGCTACTGTGCTTGTATTGGAAATTATTCGGTAGTTTTAAATTTTATTTATTTATTTGCAGGCTAAAATTGTCAGATAAATAAATAAATGAATAAACTTATTATACTATGATTTTTAATGCCTTACTATACTATGACGTCTTTATGCCTTACCATACTATGACATAATTTGTCGTTTTATGACATTTTTATGCTTATTATACTATGACTTTTTTTTTTTTACATTTTTATGCCTTATTATACTTTATTATAATTTGACGTTTTATGACATTTTATGCCTTATTATAATTAGTCATTTTATGACATTTTTATGCCTTACTATACTATGACATTTTAATGCCTTATTATAATTTGACGTTTTTGACGTTTTTATGCCTTATTACACTATGACGTTTTTTGACGTTTTTATGCCTTACTATACTATAACGTTTTTTGACATTTTAATGCCTTATTATAAGTTGACGTTTTATGCCATTTTTATGCCTTACTATACTATGACATTTTAATGCCTTATTATAATTTGACGTTTTTGACGTTTTTATGCCTTATTACACTATGACGTTTTTTGACGTTTTTATACCTTATTATAATTTGACGTTTTTTGACGTTTTTATGCCTTACTATACTATAACGTTTTTTGACATTTTAATGACTTATTATAATTTGACGTTTTATGATATTTTTATGCCTTACCATACTATGAAATTTAAATGTCTTATTATAAGTTGACGTTTTATGCCATTTTTATGCCTTACTATACTATGACATTTTAATGCCTTATTATAATTTGACGTTTTTGACGTTTTTATGCCTTATTACACTATGACGTTTTTTTGACGTTTTTATGCCTTACTATACTATAACGTTTTTTGACATTTTAATGCCTTATTATAAGTTGACGTTTTATGCCATTTTTATGCCTTACTATACTATGACATTTTAATGCATTATTATAATTTGACGTTTTTGACGTTTTTATGCCTTTTTACACTATTACGTTTTTTGACGTTTTTATACCTTATTATACTATGACGTTTTTTGACGTTTTTATGCCTTACTATACTATAACGTTTTTTGACATTTTAATGACTTATTATAATTTGACGTTTTATGATATTTTTATGCCTTACCATACTATGAAATTTTAATGTCTTATTATAAGTTGACGTTTTATGACATTTTTATGCCTTACTATACTATGACATTTTAATGCCTTATTATAATTTGACGTTTTTGACGTTTTTATGCCTTATTACACTATGACGTTTTTTGACGTTTTCATGCCTTACTATACTATGACATTTTAATGCCTTATTATAATTTGACGTTTTTGACGTTTTTATGCCTTATTACACTATGACGTTTTTTGACGTTTTCATGCCTTACTATACTATGACATTTTAATGCCTTATTATAAATTGACGTTTTTGACGTTTTTATGCCTTATTACACTATGACGGTTTTTTTTTACGTTTTTATGCCTTACTATACTATGACGTTTTTGACATTTTAATGACTTATTATAATTTGACGTTTTATTAAATTTTTATGCCTTATTATAATTAGTCGTTTTATGACATTTTTATGCCTTACTATACTATGACATTTTAATGCCTTATTATAATTTGACGTTTTTGACGTTTTTATGCCTTATTACACTATGACGTTTTTTGACGTTTTCGTGCCTTACTATACTATGACGTTTTATGCCTACCAGCCTGTCCAGTCTCCTTGTACCATGAGCACATGTTACTGCCCCAACAGACAGCAACATAAAAAAGGACACTCAAGCCACCTGTGAGGTGCCCAGTTAGCATACCAGATCTCGTGCTTCTCTTCAGCCCAGAAAAGTAAAAATAAATAAATAAATAAATAAAAAGAAAATGCAATAATCCACTCTGCATTTTCATTTTCACATACTCATGGGCGTTCTATGACCATATTAACATAAAAATTGAGAAGCCATTGACAATTAATTAAGACTTAACCTGCTCTACAGTGGCAATATTCAAATACAATAAGCAAACAGCGCCCACAGTCCATTGCATACATTTACATGCCACTATGCTCTTTTGGTGTCAAAATGAAAATGCAATCTGTAGTCAGTCCTCTCATCAAGGCAGGTCATCAGTTAGGACGTCACTTCCTTGTCACTTGTTTGGTTTACTGGGGCAGTGGCAGCTGTTTGTTTTACCAGGGCATAATGACACAAAGATCCACTGTAATATGCAGTATTTAATGTTATTGGAAACTTTGCGGCTGTGAGGATGAGTTCAACAGAAACCTTTCAGGGCAGTTGAACAGCTTCTCCCCACTCTTTGACATCACTCACTTTAGCTGGGAACATTCTGCCACATACACACTAATGTAAAAACCTGGAAAGGTATAGAAACGTTCATGAAACTTGAACTGTGATTGATTTGTATATGGGCCAAGTGATACAAGTCAACTTTTGTTCAAACTCGCGTAAAGTTTGTTTCAAAACTGTGTAAAATTGAAATCCGCAAGTGTAGAATTGAGATCCACAAATGCTTTTTTGCTTCACAAATAGAAAATTGATTCACAAATGTCTGTTTGTAGTAAATGTTAGGAAGATGCTTTTCATTTATTTGTAAATTAATGTATTCATAGATCATTTTTGTATTTGTGGAAGGTGTTTTATATTTACAGATTACACATTTATACACGGATTGTCGACCTGTTCACACATAATATTGAAACAAATCCTCCATAAAACAGTGATAAAATAGAATTTAGACAACCTAGTCATATCAATCAAATGAAAACACACAGAGAGGGAAGCAGGTTTGGTTACATAGTCAGATTTTTATTGGACAGAACGGTCACCAGGGCTACAAACATGAAGAAGCAGACACTGACGAGGTAAACACCAGGGGGAGACCTAACCTCACTGCAAACACACTCCCAGGGCCTGATCTTTGAATCAAAATAGTGTGACATAGTTGATCTTAGTGCTTAAAAAACAGGAAATTTGAGTCACAACTCCTGATAAGGATGATGGTCAAACCTCTAAACTGTATGGAATGTTCCTTCTTTTCACTTCTAACTTTACTTTGACTTTACTTGCTAAATGCTGGTAAAAGTAATGGTGGAAAGGTAGCAGGGGAAAAAACAACACACTCTCCAGAAAGTACAAAAACAGCTCAGTCATTGTGAATTCCCTCTCTTTCCCAACTACCAATTAAGAGACTTTGTAAGTTTAACAATTTTACTCTCTCATCCTGCTGAGTGGCAAAGAGAAAGTAACCGAGATCCAAATGACCATTCCCAAAAACACAAATCAAATATCAGTCAGTTCACAACAGAACAGTATCTCCAGAAGGGCAGACTCTACTGAGACAGAAGCTCATATATAGGAACTATTACCAGGATTCATTATTAACCACAACAGCTACACATCATCTTCGCAGGGATAACTCTACAACATCTGGAACTTCTAAAGTAACTGGAGAGTAGATAGTCGAACAGTAACACTGAATAAATGCAACAAAGCAACCCTTAAAGACACCAAGGTGTCTCCCGTCCTCTCCCCCTGGTCCCCCCCTGCATCACTGTCTTTTTCTTTCAGACACCAGTTGGTTTACAGGTTTACTCATCACTACGAGATATATACGATACAATGATTCACATTTGCATATATCTGTGCATTATACCATATTTACTTTTTTTTAATGATGTAAATTCAATCTCCAACACCTAGTTAGGAAGGGGTGAGGTTGGTGGGAGGGATGTATGAGAGAAGCTATAAGGATTGAGGGGAGGAGAGAGACAAAGTAGGAAGAGGGAGAAGTAAAATTTTTTTATCAGGATAGATGGGAGGAAAGTGGTCAGTTCGCTGCCTGGTGGGGGTTGAACTTTAGCAGCGTGTTTCGTAGATGCCGGAGCGGCCGATGTACCGCACCCATTTGATGACGTCGTGGTCACTGTAGTTGAGCTTGGACTCAAACACCTTCAAGTAGCGCACCTTCAGACCAGACGGTGCGAAAGGAACCTGCAGAGACAAGAGGAAGACAGTCAGGATGTGTCAGGGCATGCTGGGAGATAAAGGCCACACTGTTTTCTGTGGAAATGCAAGCCAGCTCTGGGCAGGAAGTCTGTGTACAAGGTATCAGTAACATGTTGTGATTTTACTGATACTGGGATCACATTTAATCCATAGTCCATTTGTCTGTCTGCCAACTCTGTACAAAGTTCTGTTCAGCTATGCATTTAGCAAACAATATCTCACAATGGACACAAGTTAAACATTTGTGCACTGGATTTTAGAAAAATGCAACAGACAATATCTTCTATTCAACATACATGTGACTGAATGATACAGGAGGGACACACTGTCTGAGATGGAAAAACAATCAACTTCAGTTTTAATCAGAAAGACTGAGCTGTGTGTGTGTGTGTGTGTGATTGATTGAGTGAGAGAGAGCTTGAGAGGAAGGCAGAGACTGTAAAGCATTAATGTATTCTCACCTCAAAGTTCATAGAGATGGGAGGCCTGGCCCATTTCTTCTTATCGTTGGTGGGCAGAAGCTCGATCTCAGCGCTGATCTGAGACTCTTTCATCCCAGCCATGCGTTTGATCCTACACACA